CCTCGCGGGGTGTTTGGTTTGTCCCTTTGAAGAGGCCTCTGGATCAACAGTTGACACTAAAATTCCTCAGCAGTATGTGCAGAGTGAAGTTAACTTCTCTGTCAAACAAGTCTTCTAATGCACACATTCCATCTTAAAATAGCAATCCTGTCTTGGTTTCCCTCGAGTAAAGGCCTGGAAGGTCCAATCCATTAAAGCGGAAAGAAAAGATGCTCACAGGGGCAGAACATTTAAAAAAAAAGAAGGAAGACTGTGTATTTGTACGATAAGGATGGGACTCATTTTGTAAAAGTGCACAATCTCAAAGCAGACTAATGAGAAAACTATATGACGCAATATGTAACCACCAATCAAGACAGTGAGAAGATTGCTTTTAATGAGAATAAAGTAAAGTCATGAACCAAGAGCAGGATTAACAGACCTCGGAGGGAGGAGCGACTCTCACACAACTGCAGCAATTAATTGCTATTTGAGGACAGTAGCCCACTCAACATCTGGCCACCAGCATCCTCAGCTGTGGCTCTCTTAGTGTTGCTAAAAGAGAATTGATCAATAAGTTTGTGCTTGCAGGTTTTCTTATCATTTCCATTTGGATTTTAATGATAATGTCAATGGTTGGCAGAATACTAACACTTTTACAAACAGGATTATCAATATTTTAAAAAGTATTGACTGGGTAAAAGTTAGGTAATCATTATTATTTGTATAAGCTGAAAGCGATTGTTGCTTATCAAGTTAGTTGTTCATGCGGCTGCCTTGTTGTTAAAGTGACTACAGTAGAAGACAACAGACAGTATATGTCTAAAAGTTCAGTCACTCTCCTGTTTTACCATCTGTGTTAGTCCTTCAAACAATAAGACTAACAGGATTTTGGCAGCCTGTTGCAACTGTTTAGGGGATTTCTAAACACCTCTCTTTCTGCTTATCTCTAGACGGATCCGTGTTTGGTTTCCTCTCTGATATACTTTCCAGATGGGCTGCAATATTGTTGTTTACTGAACAAAATGTATCAACCTTGAGGAGGAAAAAATAAGTTTTCTTACTGTTTTATAGATTATATATGTTAAACATCTGTCTTTGTTGGTGGTGATCGTGCCATTCTGTCACTGACTACGCACTGAGGGAAATGTTGGACACAAAGACTCCTCTGAAGGAAGCAGAGCACAGCTGCTAAGAGGACCATGACGCAAGACTGGGGAATGATTTCAGCTTTGCTGTATGATGTAACTTTCTGAAGTTTTGTGTCTATGAGCGCAGAAAGCTGCAGGATCATGTACAGTTTGTAATCTGTGCTCCGTCAATCTAAACCAGACTCACATTCGCTGTGGTGAGGTAACAATGAACCAGACCGGATTTTTGAAGACATAATTTGCAGTGTTGTAACTGCTGCTTTACATGGAATATAAACACTGCTACATCTAAAACAGTTCAAGTACTGCTCCCTAAAAACAATCTTGTACTCCAAAAAAAAGTATTATTATCATACCACTGTCTTTATTCTGTAACCAAACAGTTCATCTTTAAGTTAATTAATCATATATTAAGTTACTCTGATATTGATGTTGATGTGTCTGATTTTAAATGTATTGAAAATATGAAATTCATAATTTTTTTGGGGCAAATTAATATTCTATCACATTATTAGCATAGCAAAGTTGATCACATGTTTAAAATCTTTCTTGAAAAAATAACAAATTGTCATTTTTTTTTTTTCATTTTTTAGCAGAGTAACAGTCTGTACTGAATCTAGCTTTATGAAGTAAAGGCAGCAGCACTCTAATGGTTTAAATACTGACCGAACATGCCCCCTAGTGGGAAAAGTTTGAAAACTTCATCCAACGCTATCAAAGTTTTCTTTGTAGTAATTAATTAAGGTTATACTCAGGTTTGTATTCTTTCTTTTAGGCTAGAGATGTTTTAATTGTATCTTTAGTTGATGGACTTTTGTATTATTTTCCACTATGTGCTTGGGAAAAATGTGCAAAAGGAAGATTTTTTGCACAGAAAGTAAAGACATACACCAAGCCTCAGGCTCTTAGGCTCTATAAACCCTGAATGTCTCCAGAATTACAAGAACCAGTGGAAATCATTTTCAGTTCAGACACTGTAGATATTTGTATTAGCTGTGGCATTGCATTGTGGACAAACAACCACTAGATGGGGATCAAACAAACCAAATAAAATATCGTTTGATATTCAATAAAAGGAGTTCGAGCCACACTGACCTCCACTTTCTGTTCAGCGCCCACTGACACATGTCTCTATTTTCATATGTCCAGTGTGGCAAAAGTAATGAAATTTTAAATCAAAATACTCTGTGCCTGAAAATTAGCATTTGTCTCTGGCTTCTACCTGTGGGATAGTTGTCACATATATTGGACAAAGTGTTTAATATCAAAGTAATTCATTTCATACTGACTCCCCACAGAGATCTGTTATATTAAGTTTCTGTTCCAGTGCAGTGAGGCCTCTGAAATTCCAGCAGACCTTCAGCATCATAACAAGCTGCTGAATTGGCATTTATTTCATTATTTCCCCCTCTCTCCTGCACCAGTCACGTTCTGTGCCCTGTGCCCTTTTCAGTCACAAACCCTCCGCCCTGCTGTAAACACCACCTGCTGAGGGAGACCCCTACCTGCCGTCCTACCCCTTCCTGCCTGTGGATTCTGGGTGGCATTTTAAAAAATGGGTGGAGATCATAACGAAGCGCAGCAGCTGGAGCTGTTGCCTAACGCCTGCCTGTGGAGGCCCGGGTCTGCCACATCAAACGGGGATATGCCACACAGGAAATAGTCCTGAGAGGAACAGTTCCCTTGCTTCCCCACCTGTAGAGATGCTCTCGGAGAGACAATGTCAAGGTGTGTGTGTGTGTGTGTGTGTTGCTTTGAGTGGTTGCAGGGATGTGAGGTGACATAATCTCAACATCTAGTTATTTGCTTTGAAGTTATGTTAAATGCTAAGAATATTAAGATGTGGTCAAAGTGCTGTTTTAATCTGAATATAGTCTCAGGTAGCAGGTCTCAAGATAGATACACATCCACGCACACAAACTCCTCATTTCCATCAATATGATGCTAATGTACTTGGCAACATCACTGCATGTTTCCTTGGTGATAATTCTGATGCTCCTTTTAAGCCCAACTCCTCCTCAACTTGACACATAAATAGAAATCGTCTTAATGGACTACTGATCTGAAAATGGTTGAACGCTCCAAACACTGTATCTGTGTCAGCTGATGAGTCATTTCACACACCAGAGACCTGCTGACTATACCGGTCATTGTCTCGGATCTGATGACACGAGAATAACAGGAATGTATTGAATAAACAGTTAACTAAACATATCACCTTAAACGGTATATAATAAATGCACTTTAATGATTAGTGACAGTTGGTCGTCGATCGCTCTGCTTTGGTTCTCACCTTTTGAGTAATGATCTACAGGAGAATCAGTCCATCTAATCAAGAGTCATTGTAATTAAACATGTTTTTCAATGTTTAATTAAAACTTGTAGACAGAACAGCACTGTTTGGATTTCCAATTTAGGGGTTACATTGCATGTATTCAGTCAGTGCAATGGGTTTCTTGGTATTTGACATGTTAAATTGAGGTTAAAATGTGGTTCAATGTAGTTTTTGATATCAGTGTTGATACCAAAACAAATATATTTTGTGTGGAAATTCCCCCCATACAAGAAGTCAACATCTGACATCATCCATCAACACTGTGGCCCTATTAGTGGCCCTGTGTTATACAGCTATCAGGACAAATCAGGATGAATACCATGAGTCACAGTGTGTCTCGATTGGTCGACGAGGCACTTCGGACGTTACATGCTGTCTCTGATTATGACTTCAGATGGTGTTCTTGTGGCAGAAATCCATAAATGTGTTTTGTTCGATGAGTCATCTGGTACGTGTCAATGTGATCAAAGGTGACGAAGTCTGAACCTGGAAAACACACAAAGGGCTGTGTGACATTTGGTGTTTTGATTGTTTATGTTACAATTTACAGTATGTTTATGTCCATATGTTTAGATTACACTCTGTAATTATTACTTCAATCCCTAAAATCATGTTCCACATATTAAATCGTTCAAAATAAACAGTGACAAATTAAATCATACATTAACATCAATGTGGTCACATTTTAGGGTGTGCCACATTTACTTTGTTTACTTTGTTTATTTGCCTTGTGGATGCCTGAGACTTATTTGAAGAGTTCATTTTGATCAGACACGATGGTCTACAATGATACTGGAAAGTAGACTTCACCTCTTGTTAAAGTGGACAAACAATCACAGAAAATGAGGATATCAGATAAAAAAACAGAAGTGATAAGAACAGGATTGGATTTGATATGAATAAACCTAGCAGATTTTCTTCATGACTTTTAATCTTTTCCATGCGTCAAATAGCACAACTGCATTTTCTTTACTATCTCTCACTATCAGCAAAGTGAAGCCTAATGGGTATGCTTTTATCATAATGAACAGAGTGATAAAATGTTTTTTTATGCTCACGTTCAGGTTGCAAATTTATTCACACGATGCTACGTTCAAGTAACATCGGAATTTTTGCTTACGAACGATCGGCCAACGAAGGACCCCGATAATGATTGTTTTAGTGGTCCATTCATGGATCTTTTTTTCCTCACTACGGGTGCACTGACAACAAATTATCACAAAGACATTTGAGACCTCGTGAACACATTTTAATTCTAAATCTAAATGTTGGTAATTCCGACAGATTTAAAGGACGTGGACGGCTTTAAGGCGAAGCAACGGGACAGTAAAACGGACCAACGGTTACTCTCAGCGTGCCCACAAAGTCAGCTTGGTGACGCTCTCCCACTGTACAGGAGGGCTGGAGATAAAAAGACAGACACACACTCCTCCCACCATTCAGTGTGTTGAATTACTCAGCCGGTGTGTGTTGCTGCTCACACACAGAGACGAGGAGAGGCACGCTTTAACTATCAAGAGGACCGAACAACACACACGGGGGGACGGAGTAACCGACAATATGAAACGGGACTTATTTTAGCGAACGTTCGACCGAGGCCACCGTACAACACCCGGCTTTTTTTTCTTCTTCTTCTTCTCCTCCTTTGTTTTTCGGTGTAAAACTTCGGCTCTGTCAGCATTCGGCGTCACCGACCACCCACCGTTCTCTCTCTCTCTCTCTCTCTCTCTCTCTCTCACACACACACACGCGTTACGTTTGACACCGGAGTTGTCCCCGTTTGACATCACCGGGTGATAACGTTAGCAGCCCACAGACAGGTGAGTGTGTGATGTGGTTTGTTTCAGGTGTTGTTTGAGCACATTTACCTGTCAGTGAGTTTTCCTGCAACATTTATAAACAGTTTTTTTTCTTTCTCAACATGTTAGCAGTTGCATACCTCATTAACATATATGTTAGAAATGTCATACAGGCTAATACCCCTCACACGTTTTGCACGTTTCATATTTAAAAGGTTGGATCTTTTGTTATTCCTCACTTATATTCCCATTTAGTGTATTAATTAGAAGCATGTGTGTTTACCCATCTCAGGCTTAAATGTGAGTATTTCTCCCACTGCTCACTGAGGGATCTCATGTGCACCTAAAGACACGAGACACGCCCATGATGTCTCGCGAAAGACAGGGTTTCCATTTTTAGTGAAACTATGGGTCGATTCTCCTCAGTTGGTCCATCACAAATTAATGAATGCACGTAAAGCTACAGAGGTTGACTATGGTGTGCGTTTTTGTACCCATACGCACAGTATCTATCTGTTTACTCTTCCCAACATTACTGCATAATTCATGACACCATTCAATTTTCTTTTTGAAGGTGAAGGATCGTCATTTGGGGTGTTTTCCTGGCATGTTTGTATTCCATGAGAGTGCTGCACATTTATGTGATGCATCACTTCATGAGAGGGAGTGTGATCTAGTAAATATGTTGGAGAGGATCCATTTGGTGCATCTTGTCTCTGACCGTGTTAACACTTCCCCAGCTGTCACTGCTACACCTCCAGTAAAAACAGCCGGCTTCACACTTGTTTGCTTTTGTAAAGGCTTCCAGTTGACAGACGGCATTTATTTGCATCCTGTAGGCATGTCGGATGTTATTCTGAAAGAGATTAAAACCTGTTTGGTTTCAATAGACTGATTACTCGGGACGAGTCTTGGCTTTGAAAGTGTCTATGTCAGGATGTTACTTCAGCTTTTTTTACAATGTCTATAAAGGGATCGAAGGGCTTTGGAGGGGAGTGTGCTGAATATGTTTTTGAACTTCTTTCTTGCGTGTACAGTGAAGAACTGAACATGTTTCTGCAAGCTCCTGTCCCGAGGGCAGCCAGTGCTATGAAAATGTTTTTAGATCATGACATTGAATCTCATATTGTAAACATTTGACATTCAGATTGCTCCAGTAACAGCAGACAAAATGATGCAACGGTTGACATTTTGAGGTTAGCTGGAAAACGGTGACATAACGTACAGTGTATATTTCCACAGTTCTTCAAATTTGTTTAAAAAACAAAAACAAAGTACAGCTGTGCTAAACAGACTGAGGCTTCTTTCGAACGTGCTTTGAATATTCCCCTAGAAATGTTATTTTAGGAGAATAGAAGGGAGATGTGACAGGAAGGAATGCGGTGTTCACAGCAGTAATCCACTTACCGACACTTTTACACACAGGTTTTGTGGAGCTTTTTATTCATTTCTTCTTTATCTAGCTCTTCATGCATGTTGCTGCTGATGAGACTTGTAGAGTTGCACTGTATAGACGGTAGCAGACCCCAGTGTCCATTAGAGAGCGTATTGATTCGGTGATTCCCGACATTCTGCTTTGCCCTGCTTGCATAACTGCCGCTGTGTACTTATATGTTTATGTACTGTATCCTTAAATAGCTGCTTCTTAGATAAGAGAAACATGCCCATCCTACAAGAGATACAATATCCTGTACACCAAAAGAAACACATCTGTGAGATCCGTCAAAGCTGTGCAGAATCATCCAGAGGGAGTGCAGGTCTGACTTGTAAAGAATGACTTGTTATTATTGGCTGCCCTGCAGCAGTGAGGTCAAGTCCAGCCCTCTCTGTCTCTCACATACAAACACACACATGCACTATCCCCAGTAATGATGATGAACCTCCACCTAAAAGCTTCTCAAAGCGTTTGCTATTAATTTGTAGCCCCAACATGAAAAATATGGTTTCACTCGCTGAGGCAACAGCACATGTTTAATGCGAAATCAATGGCTAGCTAAATTGGTTTTAAAGATTTGAGAATATGATGATAATAATCATGGTACACAGTTTTGACTTGGGTCAAGTACTATAATTTCCACAGCACTTTACGTCAACCAATGCAACTGATTTCTTTCTGCAAATGCATTTCTCGCCATCTTTTTTAAGAGGGTTAATAAAGCCACAATGGGGCACAAGCAAGCAACAATTGTGCTCACATTGATGCTAAGGAGTGGAGGACTTTGCAGTATGAGCTGATCTGACTCTGATTGGTGTTGAGTGTGTCATGAAATCGTCCTGTTGTTGAGGAAGAGCTATAGAGTCCAGATCCACAGAACTGCAGTCCTTGTATGTTTTGATAGTTTGCTTATTGGATTAAATCCTTCTCCTGTTGTTCTCCCCGTTGTCGGGAGACTTCTTTGCCAGCAGGAGAGCGGGTGGCAGCTCCAGGAGACGGACCTTCAGTTAGCGCTTGTAGCAACTCGCAAAGTATTTGCTGCTGCAGTTACAATGTGGGATTGACGAAGCGTTTGCGGTTATTTTATTACCTTCCTGAAGTATAGGCGCAAAGTAACCCAAGTTGTTGTGGATCACCTTGCTCGAGTAACACACACACACACACACACACACACACACACACACACACACACACACACACACACACACACACACACACTTCAGTTGAGTAGGTGGTCCTTCTATCGTCGGCTATGGACACATTAACGTACACACTGCTAAAAGGCTTTGGCCTAATGCATCCTAGACCACCTCCGAATGTGATGCTATGGATCAGATCTCAATGTGTCTTGGGTGCATTCACACCTGAACTTAGAGCTTGTCTACTTGTGAACGGATCCCCGAAGACGCATGTTGATGCTGGGTCTGAACAGGCCCTTAGTCAATGTCTTTCAGTCAGCAGGTTTCAAGCTGTCAAAGAACGTGTTCGGCTAGGGAGGGCTGAACTTATACCATTCATATTTCTACTCATAATTGAGGCATGTAACTGATACTGTGATGCAGAGTTACTTTCATGCTGATCGGAACAGTTCTTGGAACCATGTCTCACACTGCACTACAGAATTGTGAGTCAAACTAAATAAGGGCTAACTGGTTTGTGGCAGTTCCATGCAGGCAGCAAAAGTCAAATAGAAATAGAATATTGCCATCCTGCTCTGAGAAGGTCGGGGCCCTGCTGGTACCGAGCAAGTCCCCTTTGTGTTAAACATGCTTGAGATTTGCAATGCATAGCAGATCCTCTGACAGTGGACGAGTTCAGCGTTTGACAGCACATGAAATCTGTGTGAGGACATTGGTTTCTGACATTATTGTCGAATGCGAGCCCACATTAAAAAGTGATGGTAGTAAATGTAAGTTTCCCCGACTCACCTTATTTGTGCAGGTAACATTCCCGAGGGTAATTGCTATTATTTAACCCTCAGAGGAACACAGGAGGATTAGGTTCGCTGTCGTTGCTCGTTTGCAACTTGAGCTCTCTTCAAAGTCCGCGGCTCAGACAAACTGGGAGGTGCACAGTTATTTTGTCGAAGCTCAGGCTCTGCTTTTGAAAAGAGGCACAAATACCTACTTGACTGTATAACAAGTCTGCTTGTTTTTCTTTCATTCTTGGGAATATTCCCACCATTTCAGACCCACCACCACATTGTTGTAAAATGAGAATCAGCCCATTTTTATAGTTTTCCATACAGTCAGTGCCTCGTTTTACCCCTTTTTTTTGTGAAACATGTTTTTAAGATTATTTTCTAATCCTCTTAACTGGTTGACTTTCAGACTTGTACTGTACTTGTATTGACAATGATCTAGTTTTGTTGTTTTTGTGTAATGATCCCTGTAATAGAATGAAAGAAGCCACATGTTTTTTGAGGGAGAAAGCTCAGTTTCCCTCTCAGAAAGCCAAGCTCACCATAGTTGCACCTGCTTGTCTGGCCCTGCCTCCGGTGCTCAGACGGCAGTCGCAGTAGAGGACAGAACTCGGTGTGATATCAACACACAGATGGTGGCGGAGAGCCCTCATGTAGACATACAGATGGCACCTTGATAAAACACGCTAGTCCACCTACAACAGTCCGACTGAGGAGGCCCCGAGTGAACCGAGCCTATGGAGTTGTCCGTTCGCCGCACACACACAGTACAACAATGGGGCTCCCACCGTGTCTCTGCATGCCACGGATGTCTTTGTCAGCTGTTTGCTTTCCAGGCCACAGTATCAGCACTACAGTATCGCCTATGATTAGGAAACCAACCCCAGAATACTTTCTCTCAACCTGAACAGGGAGACAGGAGGGGTCCAGTCATTCTCTGTATTTCTTTACGTCTAACAGCAGGAAAGAAATGGGTCACAGCAAATGAATTTAGGAAGCTCTGCTCCAGGTTTATAAACCAGTGACTTTTTGAAAGTAGTTCCAACATGTTATGCCCAGCGGCATCACAATCATATGCCATGAAGTGGCAAAGCTACAGTCACTGATTTCACTGATTACTGTAACTTTGCAGTCCAAAGAACTAGTCATTTAAATCACCTGAAATTCAGACCGCTCTCTGCCTCCATGGAACGTGATTACACATCAATAGTGTTGAAAGAAAGTGGTTCCCAGCTCCGGACTGCTACAGTGATTTTAACCGGTCGGGGCCCCCCCCTCTCTCTTTTGACCGGTATTTTATGGCAAAAGAAGCTGTGAAAGCAGAAACATTTGTTGAGTAAAATCCTCTCAGTTCAACTATACAAGCGACCTCTAAATAAAAGAAGTGTTAGGAGGCTTGGTTGAAAAGCAGTTTAAGTAGGCTGGAGAGCTCTGACAAGTGTTGTAATGGACTGTGTATCTGTCGCCGTTCCACTCTTTCTCACATAATGCATTTGTAAAATGGACCATTAACTTTATCAAGAGCAATCAGTAAAAACATCAAAACAGATCTGCCAATGTTTTCCACTGCCATTACAAAACCCATGCTCCATTTTATGAACGGTTTTCCTAAATTGCCAATAACATGCTCGGCTAGCTGGGACAGGCTGTAGATTGAAGCTGCTA